GGAGAGAGAGAGAAAGGGAGAGAGAGAGAGAAAGGGAGAAACTCTCACAGTGATTTAAAAATCTGCAAGCATGTTTGTCTTTTTAAGAAAATCTATATAGCCAGGACTGCAGAAGGAAAAAACACAACTCTCTATCTAAAAGGCTAATTCTGGAAATCTTACTTTTTCCTACTTTAAGTCACTATACTTTTATTTTTACTATAGATTGTGTGAAACCATTCTAGGGAAAATATATCTATATATAACAACATGCATGCACACCTACCTCACCGCAACAACACATACACCAACATCCCACCACACAAACACCCACACACCTACATGGACACACACATCCACAGAACAGTCACGTGTGATACACACACTTCCATGTTCTTTATCACTAGGTTGTTATCAATGCACCCCAAACTCTTACACCTTTTTCCTCACCTTCAAATAAATAATTGATGCTTCAAGAACATTTTAAATAAATATCAATTTTACCTCAGACTGTCCAATGAAAGCCAAAGCCAAGCACAGACGTCTCTTATATCCTCCAGAGAGCTCACTGGGAATTTTTTCAAGGTGAGAAATCAAATTCAATTTCTTGGCATAGACGGATACCTCTTTTTCTGGGTCTTGCTCAGGACCACTCTTGAGCTACAACATGAAGAATGAATTAATTATTAACTTAAACAAAATATAGGAGAAGGAAAGAGAACTTGCACAAAAATGTGTTCGAATGTTCTGAAGTTCAATTTAGTATGCCACAAAAGTTTCATACACAATATATGTACCTGGTGGTTACATGAAAATAGAAATTTACAACTGAGATACAAACTTTAAACACACCCGTTACTCTCACTAACCTTATAAACTTCCCACCACCCTGTTTATCACATATTATCGGCTTTCCCCTATCATTGTCACATACCTAGCCCCCTTGTGTTGGCTGTCGTGCATTTCTTCCGGCCAAAATCCATCAAGCATTGAAGATGTTAGATTATGAACATAATCCATTAATTCCCGATAATGTGAACATTAACCAGCAAATTTGTGAATTAGCCAAATTTTGCAATTAGCCGTAACATATTCAAATTTATTCAACTTTCTACGGGGGAAGATGAAATTCTCCAGAAAATGCTACAAGTTCATTTCATGGTCCATAGGCAATCTTCATTTGAAGGTGTACTTACCCCCATTGAACAGCAATTTTTTTTTTTTTTTTCCCCCTCATGACACTTTAACAGGACTACAGTGTAGTATTTCATCATGAAGGAGTGTAGCTGAGTAATTTACATCATGTTAGAATCATGTCCTCTGAAACTTCAATTTATTGTTTATGCCAGGCCACTCAACTCAGTGGCTTGCTTTTCACGAGCCTGAAAATTCACCCCCTAGAGCTGTGTTTTGTTGGGGAGGGGATTGATGTCACAAGCTGTAGGGGGGAACCGCACGGGCTTTAAAGTGTGCATCCATCAGTTTAAGAACGCATGGCAAAAGGGCATATCACCTTTCTCTATCTGGCCTTCATACAGGGCAAAGTGTGCAAACAAGCAAGTCTTTACAACCATTGATAGTAATTATTGAATTTTTTGTAAATTCTGTGGCTGTGAACATCGTAAAATTCATAGAACAATTGCAGTGTGAAGTATAATTATTTCCAAACTGAAACACCTCTAATAACATCATGTAGACTACATTGCCATTACTAAAACTTTTGTTTAAGTATATTATTTGAATTTATGCTTAACCCATTTCTTCCCAAAGTTGTGTAAACCCAACATCAAGTTCACTATTTTATTTTGCCCCACAATTCTATATTCTCTATACAATTCTTCGAAAGCATTTATAATCTTTTGAACAGTAAACGCAATCCATAGTAAGTTTAAAACTACTTTTATTTGATGAATATATTTTACATGAATACCCATTTTCATTTCTCACACTTACTAACTTAAGAAAAGAAACTATTGTAATCGTGCACGGGAAAACAACAAATTTTTAACGCAAAAACTCTTTACTGCCAGGCCCAAAGCTACACACCCTGGGTAACAAAAAAATGGATAAATACAGTTGCTAAATATAGAAAAAAAATCCTCTAGTCACGTGGTCACAAGTAGACACTGTTTTCCAAACCATGAGATGAACCAACATACAATAGTTCAACAACCACAACAAACACTTCACAAATACTACTATATACATAGGATTATATACTAGAAATACTTCGCTAATTTGATGTCCATTAGTGAGTAAGGAGCCTACGGAAAGCCACAGGTCCATATTGGCCCATACTGGAAAGAGACAGAAGTAAGAAATGCAAAAATCATCATTATGCCGGTAAAACAGACTGCTGAAATTTTTGGATCCCAGCAATTT